CTCCTCCTCTTTCCCAATCCGCCTCCCTTCTAGCACTGATGATATTACCTAGTCAGGTCATGAAACGTCTGCAAGAAAGCCACCCATCTCAGAGAGCACCAAGGACCCCACAGCTCAACCCTGATCTCCATATATTCTCTGTTCTCCATTGCTTTGATTGTCCTACCTCCACCATCTGCTGGACGTGCTTCTTGATGCCAAGACGGTCTGGCTTGGTGGCGACTCTGGGCGCCCACTCCACGACCACCGGGGGCTTGAATTGGGTGGACGGCTGGGAAGCGGGAAAGAGAGCAGAGAGCTTTAAGAAACAGGACGTCAGGGAAGACTTGGTCCTTCCTCCCCCCCCTTTATCCTCTTCTTACCAGCAGTTTGGGGCAGCGAGGTTCACGAGAGTACGAGAGGGTGTAGATTTCCTCCTCTGAGTAGTAGAGATCTAAGGAGAGCTGGAAGGCAAGAAGGCATTTAAGGGCAAAGGAAATGAACCATGGACCCTAAAATCTCCTGAGTGAGGGGTCCTTGGTGCTCTCTGAGCTTGCTTACTTGCTTGCAGACATTTCATGACCCAACTAGGTAACATCATCAGCGCTAGAGGTAGTAAGGAGTGCTGTTTGCTCTCAGTTTATATTCTGGCGTCTTGTCTTTTTATTCTGGTGTCCTATCTTTGTGGGACAGGGCTGTCTTGGGTAGTTTTTGGTTGGGCTGTTTACTAATGGCTCTTTGGCAGTTTCTGGATTGGGGAATTGCTTACTTGATTGTTGGTCTGAAGTTGCCCTTGGAGTTAATCTATGCTGATCTGGGTGCCGATTGCTGGTGGAGAGGTGCTGGAGCCTTTTTCTCTTTGGGGATGGTTGATTGTCTCTTTTGAATAGTCTATAGAGGTTGTTAATGTCTAATTTCATGAGTGTTGGCCAAGAACCATTGATATTCTGATGACTTCGTGATGGACAGCCGTTGCACATTTGGCTACTTCTAGGTCAGGGGTAGGCAACTTTGGCTCTTTTATGACTCATGGACTTCAACTCCCAGAATTCCTGAGCCAGCATAGCTGGGAGTGGAAGTCTAGGAGTCATAAAAGAGCCAAGGTTGCCTACCCCTGCTCTAGGTCATACCTGGGCATTTTATATATATATATATTTCACGGGTACAGGTATGCAGGTCTTGGCGTATTCGGCTCTTTTCCCGTGTAAGATTGAAGTATCTTGGCAACGTTTCGACGTCACACTTTGCTCGCACAAGCACGAAGCCGAAGACCCCAGCCTGCTTCTAGGAGCATATGTGTGTGTGTGTGTGTGTGTGTGTGTGTGTGTGTGTGTGTTTGTGTAGACATGCCTATGCACCTTCACAACCCCTTTGGTTTGGTCCTCCAGAACAGTCTCAATTCCTCATGTGGCCCCTTGGAAAAATTAATTGCCCGCCCCTGTGGTAAGTGGTTGAATGGCCAAAGCAAAGACTGAATAGCACCTCTCCTTTTGCTCCATCTCTACTAAAGCAAACGGCCAAGGAACCCCCGAAGACAAGGGGGCAGCCCCCCTGAGCGGATCGGGACCCCAAGGCCAGCTTTACCACCGGAGTGGTTCCAGTCCATCTTTCTCCTACGTCTTGTCCCCGTCTCCCATCCTGGATGAGTCGTTCGGGGTGACTTCCTCCTACAGGCCTCCTGCGTGGTCTGTCCTCATTACCACACTACAGTCCTTGTCTTAACATACACCGCCGCCTGTGCCATCTTGACAGGCGGGTTTGAAACTCCATTCCTAGTCCACCTGGTGAAGAACGGACAGGGAAAGATGGGAGTTGTAGTCCAACAGCCCTGGAGGACACCGGGCTCCTGATTGAGGGGTTGCAAAGATTCCCTACTGGGGCCTATAGTCATGCCTTCACCCTGCCTGGGTTGCTAAGCAACATCTGCATCACCGGGCTCCATGGTCCTGCCCACACTGGGTGCTGCTAGGCAACCAGGCATCTGGTTAGGACACATAAGTCCCGGCTGTCTTTTCATTTGCCAGGCCCCTATTTCTGTCGCAAGAGATAATGCAGCCATTGGGATGACTGAGTCAAGCCACTAGGCCGGAGAAAGTAAGCCGGCCCTCTTTGGCTGTAGTGGGAGGTGGTTGCTAGGCAACCCTGCCGCTCTTGTAGACTCTCCTCCTGGAGGTTTCTAAGCAACACCACAGGTTGGCAGCCTGTAGAAGAGATGTTTGCCTGTTGTTGGGCCCCGTATCCCAGCAAAAGGCGGCGGGTGAAGGCCCGCCACCCCTCTGAGACTATGACTGCCGTCAGACAGCATATAAACAATATAAATTAGTAATATAATAAGGTGATAGGCCACGCTGTCCTGGTAGGGACTTCTGCGAAGGTCTGTTTCCTGACGGAACAATTAATCAATGGAATAGTTTGCCTCCGGGAGTTTGGGGTACTTTATTTCAAGAAAAATATTGGACAACCATTTATTCAGGATGATATAAGGCAGGGGGGCCCAACCTTTTGGGCACCAGGGACCAGTTCCGTGGAGAGAGGTTTTTCCACGGATCAGAGGGGGCCTGGTTTCGGGTGCTGCCTGCATCCCACGGATGGGGCTTTGCTTGTTTGTGTGGACCGGTTTCTGACATGTTATGGACCGGTGCCCGTCCATGGATCAGGGGTTGGGGACCCCTGGTATAAAGTCTCCTGCCTTGGTCAGAGAGTTGAAGACCTCCCAAGTCTCTTCTAGCCCAATGATTCTATGAATGCTGGCGGGAAAAAGGCCACCTTCTCCAAACATGGGGCCAGGTTAACAGTGGTTGACTTCCTTTCAAGGCAGCCAACAGGAAGTCCTTGAACTTGCCCACCATTGGACCACCTGAGCATCAACCCTCCCACGTCTCCATGAGTTCTCCACGGATCTTTCTTACGGTCAGCAGATGCACCAGGTCCTTGTTGGCTTCGAAGGGCGGCTGCGTTCGTTGCCGCAACCGGAATTCCCACACCGGCTCATAGAGGCTCTGCAGCTTGCTCAGGTTGAGACGTCCACCTTCTACGCGGTCTGGGAGGGCTTCGTGCAAGGTCACCAAGTCCTTGAGGTGGACTCCCACAATGGGGATTTTGAAGTCCTTGCAATCGGCATAGGCCCGACGATACGTCCCATAGTTTCCGCTGGACGAGAGCAGTTCGGTCATTTCAGCAAGCACCTGCACGAAGAAGGCATAAGAGACGCATCTTGTAGACCTGGGGTCTCCAACCTTGGCAACTTTAAGACCTGTGGACTTTAACTTCCAGAATTCCCCAGCCAGCATGGGAGTGGAGAGAATCAGAGAATCAGAATAGAGCTGGAAGGGATCTTGGAGGTCTTCTAGTCCAGCCCCCTGCTCAAGCAGGAAACCCTATACCATTTCAGACAGGTGGCTGTCCAGTCTCTTCTTAAAAACCTCTAGTGATGAAGCACCCACAACTTCTGGGGGCAAGTTGTTCCACTGGTTAATTGTCCTCACTGTCAAGAAGTTTCTCCTTAATTCCAGGTTGCTTCTCTCCTTGATTAGTTTTCATCCATTGTTTCTTGTCTTGCCCTCTGGTGCTTTGGAAAATAAATTGACTCCCTCCTCTTTATGGCAACCCCTCAAATACTGGAACTCTGCTATCATGTCCCCCCTAGTCCTCTTTTTCTCTAGGCTAGCCAAACCCAAATCCTGCACCCGTTCTTCATATGTTTTAGTCTCCAGACCTTTAATTATCTTCGTTGCTCTTATTTGCACTTTTCCCAAAGTCTCAACATTCAACATTCAACCTTGAAGTCCACCAGTCTTAAAGTTGCCAAGGTTGGAGAGCCTTGTTGGTAGACGGTCAAGAACCAGGATGCTAATGGAGTAGATGACCTACAAGGTCCCTTCCAACTCTGTTATTGTAATTCTAATTTGGACATGGCTACCTTTAGGATACCTCACCAAGACTAAACCTCCTCTCTTTTTGTCCTCAGGAGGACTCTTTCCTTACCTTGGTCACCTCGGAAGGGAGAAGCGCATGGGTCTCCTTGAGGCGAGCGATGGTGCTGTGGCAAAGGCCTCCCACCACTGCCATGAGCGTGTTGAAGTTCTGCAGCTGCCTTAATTTCTGCAATAGGAGGAAGAACAAGAGGACGATTCATCAGTGGAACGGCTTGCCTCCAGAAGTGGTGGGTGCTCCAACTCTGGGGGTTTTCAAGAAGAGTTTGGACAGCCCAGGTTCTCTCCCAACTCTGTTCTTCTGCATTCTATAGGTCTCTTCCCCCTCTGCATGGCCCACGCTCCCACTTCTGTTTCTTTCTAGTGGGACCTTACCTGTGTCACGTGGATGAACTTGGTGAAGACTTCTGCTCGCTGTTGGGGCGTGGGACGCTTGAGGATCATCACTTGCACCCACTGGGAGATGCTGTTAAACAGGGTAATTGCACGTTCCAGGGCTGAGATTCCATGAACGGATCCACGCAGCACGTAATTCTGGAAATCCAAGTACTGCCCAGGAGACAATTAAAAGGTAAGAACCGGTCTTGCTGGATTAAACCGAGTCCTAACTAAATCCAAGATACTGTTTTCCAGATGAGTCATCAGGGGACGCCGCTTTGAAGTCACTTAAGGGACACCCACTTTGGATGTCTGGTTCACCGCTTTTGAGATGGATGGATAGTGGGAAGGGACGTCCTTCAGCCATAGTGGTGTAGGGTCTCCTGCTTGAGTGGGGGGGGGGGTTGGACTAGATGACCTACAAGGTCCCTTCCAACTCTGTTACTTTGTTAATCCAGCTTCTCTAACTGTAGGTGGGAAGATTCTACCTGTGTGGCAATACACGCAGTCCACATGACCCTCCAAGACCGTGTAACTGTCACAAGTACATGCCAGTTGCCACACACTCAAAATTTGATCCCATGACCGTGGGGATGCTGCAACAGTCATTAAGCATAAAAACCGGTCGTAAGTCACTTTTTTCGGGGCTGTTGTAACTCCGAACGGTCACTAAATGGATAGCTTTTAAGTCAGAGGACCACCTGTACAGTCTAATGCTTCACAACTGGATTTCCTCTTCTGCTGCCTTCTCCAAAAGAGTGGTAGAATTTGGTACCAGCTGCGTACAGAGACAGACAGGCTCAGAAAGACACATGCCCTATCTTCGGGCGTGATCTGGAATTTCCACTAGACAGGAAATTTCCACATTTCCTGTGCGCCTCTACATGGTTGGTACACAAGGTCCTGGCTTACTCGTAAGTTTCGGCTGGGGACTCGGGGGGAGAAAACGTCGTATGTTGCATTAGATATCGGTCTGGTGCAACCAAGGATACAATTGTCAACAATGCTTGGGGCGTTGCTTGCCAGAAATCAACCACACACCAGGGAAAAATCAGTAGACAGGATGGCAGCGGTCAACGCTAACGCAACATTTCAACCACCCAAATTGGGCAGCCAGACATGGGGTTGGTGCATAATTGCACCCTAAAGGTCAAGGAGGCAATTGCTGTTAAAATTAAAGTTAAAGCCATATTTCCCATCCGTGACCATTTTTAAGATGGGCGGACTTTCTGCCAGAATTCCCCAGCCAGCCATGCTGAGACTGCATTGGACCCCACAGCAGGGTGAAATATTTTTCCTTCACCGCAGTCGTTACCCTAAAGAGCCAGCCAACCATTTATGCAAGGAAGAAGGTCTCGGTGGCCGATGTGAATTTGGGAGAACCTTGAGGCTAAAACATATGAAGAACAGTTGCAGGAATTGGGTATGTCTAGTCTAGTGAAGAGAAGGACTAGGGGTGACATGATAGCACTCTTCCATTGGCTGGGCGTGGCCCATTGGGTGGGCGTGGCTGCGGTGGGAACGGCAGACTGGGTGGGACTAAAAAGTTCAATCAATCAATTCCAACTTTGCAAGATCTTTTTTTTTCCCGCGAGAAGTTGAAATTGACTGATTGAACCTTTTTTTTCTTTGCACACGGCGGCGGAGGCCTAAAGCGAAAAGGTTTTATAAAACCCAGCTGAAGGCCTAGGACTGGGGCGACGGCGCGCGTGTCCACTGAGAAGGCTCTGAGTGCCGCCTCTGGCACCCGTGCCATAGGTTCACTACCACTGATATATACGGTACGCAGCCATCCTCAACACGGTGACTTCCTATTGTCTTCTACCAGCCAATTTCCCCTCCCCCAGTCCAAGATATTTGTACAAGATACAAGGCTGAGAAAGTGCTTTCATAACGACCCATCCATCCATCCATCCATCCATCCATCCATCTTGCAAAGCTTTTGGTGCCCCTCTGCAGCTGCTTACCGAGAGACGGCAGAAGGCCTTGAATTCCAGGTAACTGAGGTGGTCGGCTAGTTCACCTGGATCCAGGTGATCAAAGAGCAGAGAGACCTTCCGTTTCTTGCCACTGGCACGGCTGCTCTGGCAACTGAGAGAACGGTTCCAGATGTGGCTCACCCTGCAGGAAGAACGAGCACAGAAGGGACTCATTAGGGACCGAGTATCCAAAGATTCACAAGACCAGAGGGCCTTCTCTATGGAACTGCGGAGCGCTCTGTGTAAACAAGACCAACACAACTGCTAGGGTGTGGATGGTGTGCACCTGAGCTAGCTAGAGAAACGTTAGCTTCCATGGATAGTTGTGCATAGATGGGATGGTCTGTGGCAGGGGTAGACAACCTTGGCTCTTTTATGACTGGTGGACTTCAACTCCCAGAATTCCTGAGCCAGCCACGCTGAGGGGAAAGGGAGAGGTTTCCAAGCTGAGCCATGCTGGCTCAGGAATTCTGGGAGTTGAAGTCCACCAGTCATAAAAGAGCCGAGGTTGCCTACCCCTGGCCTAGGCCGCTTTATGACTCGTGGACTTCAACTCCCAGAATTCCTGAGCCAGCTATGCTGAGGGGAAAGGGTGAGGTCTCCATGCTGAGCCCTGCTGGCTCAGGAATTCTGGGAGTTGAAGTCCTCCCATCGTCAAGTGGCCAAGGATGAGAAACACTAAGTCTAGACCAGGAGTAGTCAACCTTGGCTCTTTTATGACTCGTGGACTTCAACTCCCAGAATTCCTGAGCCAGCATGAGGGAAACTTTGGCCCCTTCATGACTCGTGGACTTCAACTCCCAGAATTCCTGAGCCAGCATGTGGGAAACTTTGGCCCCTTCATGACTCGTGGACTTCAACTCCCAGAATTCCTGAGCCAGCATGAGGGAACTGTGGCCCCCTCATGACTTGTGGACTTCAACTCCCAGAATTCCTGAGCCAGCATGGCTCAGCATGGAAACCTCTCCCTTTCCCCTCAGCATGGCTGGCTCAGGAATTCTGGGAGTTGAAGTCCACCAGTCATAAAAGAGCCAAGGTTGCCTACCCTTGGTTTAAGGGGAAGAATGAAGAAGGCAGATGCTTTCCTGAGGAACAGGGATCCGTGGCTCTTTTGAACAGCAAGCGTTGGAGAGGTGACGAGGCCAAGCGGTTGGAGATCAAGCAAGGAGAACCTGAGAAGCAGGACTTTTAAGTTCTCCTGAGGAACAGGAGAAGGCTTAGTAGCACCATGGAAGCTCGGAACGGGTTTTAAGGCAACACCCGTGGTTTTTCATCATTGTTGGTCCATCTCCACCAAGTGACACGTTTGTTGGACTTTCCTTCTGCTTTACAGCCTCACCGTGATTAGGCAACAACTTTGGAGAACCTGCTGAATCACTCTTCCTTTGCCATTGAATCAGAAGATTTTTTTAAAGGACGGGTAATATCCTGGACCTTCCCTTCTCCTTCTCCTCCTCCACCCCCAAGGAATTTGCATTCAAAATAAAGTTTGCTACAGAACAAGCGTGTTCAGCCTTGGCAACTTTAAAACTTGTGGACTTCGACTCCCAGAATTCCCCAGCCAGCATGCCCGCTAGGAAGAAGACATCTACAAAATAAAATTTAAAAGGATCCTTTGTAAGTTGCCCTGAGCCCATCTCATTCTGATAGATGGGACTCCATTCCCCCATTCCTCCATAGCGAGGCGTATCTTTTTAACTCTAGACACTTGGAACGTACTCGTTTTTCTAAGAACAATCCGCAGAGGTACATTGACCGGTGAAATCCTCTACCGTAACTCAGCTAAACTACAAGTAGACTTACAACCACAATTGGGAATAAAATTTCGGTCGTTGAGAAAAGCAATAGCAATAGCGCTTAGACTTCTATACCGCTTCACGGTGCTTGACAGCCCTCTCTAAGTGGTTTACAGAGTCAGCACATTTGCCCCCAACAATCTGGGTCCTCATTTTACCGACCTCGGAAGGATGGAAGGCTGAGTCAACCTTGAGCCAGTCAGGATCAAACTGATGGCAGTGGGCAGAGTTTGCCTGCAATACTGTATTCTAACCACTTCACCACCACAGAGGAAGGAAGAGGAAGGAAGGGAAGGAAGGAAGGAAGGAAGGAAGGAATAGCAATAGCATTTAGACTTATATACCGCTTCAAAGTGCTTGACAGCCCTCCCTAAGCAGTTTACAGAGTCAGCACATTGCCCCCAACAATCTGGGTCCTCATTTTACTGACCTCGGAAGGATGGAAGGCTGAGTCAACCTTGAACTGGTGAGACTTGAACTGCCAAACTGCTGGCAACCGGCAGTCAGCAGAAGTAGCCTGCAGTACTGCATTGAATTTTTGTTAAATGACCAGTCGTAAGTTGAGGACTACCTATATACAGCAGGGTTTTTTTTTTGAAGTATCGTGGAGCTAATATAATTTATATGGGATGCATTCAGCTTCCCCCTTTTTCTCTACCCAAAAGCCCCCTTTTGCAAAAAAAATACATTCAATAAATAAATAAATAAAATAAAACAGCAGCACACGGAGTCTCGCCGTGCCTATCCCGTCCCTTCCACGGAGCAATTCCCATTTCTGAACCGGTTGTCGCCACTCACATGCAGGATGCATCAAGCACGTTGCGGTGTTCTGTTGGGCCTTGGTTCCTCACCACCTCCAAGATTTCCGTGATCACCTCCTCCAGGTGGGGGTCCAGGTGAAAAGCCTCCGGATAGTTCACAAGCCAGTAGCTGAAAGCAGAGCAAAAATTCAGGTTGGAGCTGAGTCTCTGACTGGAGAATTCTGGGAGTTGAAGTCCACACATCTTAATATTTACTAGCTTTTTGACGGGAATTCTGGGTGTCTAACTCCATATAACGTAAAATTTACTAGTGTGTGGCTGGAGAATTCTGGGAGTTGAAGTCCACACATCTTAATGTTTACAAGCTTGCTGACAGGGGAATTCTGGGCGTCGAACTCCATATAACGTAAAATTTACTAGTGTGTGGCTGGAGAATTCTGGGAGTTGAAGTCCACACATCTTATTGTTTACAAGCTTGCTGACGGGAATTCTGGGATTGAAGTCCATATACCTTAACGTTTTCTAGCTTGTGGCTGCAGAATTCTGGGAGTTAAAGTCTACACATCTTAAAATCTACTACCGTAGCTTGCTAACCAGGGAATTCTGGGACTTAAAAGTTTGTTAGCTTGGTGGCTGGAGAATTCTGGGAATTGAAGTCCACACATTTTAAGTTGGCAAAGTTGAGAAACCTTGGAGGAATTAAAGAGGGCAATGAGAAGAGCGTTCACACCGGACAAAGTGGCAGATCCTCAGCTGGCATGAAGGATTCTTGTCCTGAGCTGATTCCTGATATGTGATCAATAGAGTTAAGGCTTAATTAGCTCTCAGATTCGTGGGCAAAGCATTCGAGGATCTATTTTGCTAAAATGCACTCATCTCCCTTTCTTTCAGCAGAGTTCCTTTACTATTTGAGACTTTCTAGCCGGACCGCATTAACTAAGAGGACATAAGGGCGGAACCTTATGGGGTTTTAAAAGCAATTTTAAAAATTAATAAGGCCAAATTTAATATTTCATCTTAACTTTGTTTTAATGATAGTTTTTGGGGTATTTTTGTAGTTGTTTTTATCAGGCTGTTAGCCGCCCTGAGTCCGCAAGGAGAAGGGCGGGGTATAAATTCAAATAATAAATAAATAAATAAATAAATAAATAAATAACCTTTTTTTTCATGGAAATAACGCCTCCTGCCACAAACCTTACACCAATTCACTGGCATAATTGCTCCTTAGGAAGTTAATTCTGGAAGAACCCCAGTAATTCACCCAGAAACTGTTCATTAGCAATTGTCGTTCATCGCAAAAAAGATGCTTTTTGTGCCGGTTTAAAAACAAAACAAAACAAAACAAAAAAACAGAATGCCGCTGAAGTATATAATGCTGGTTCTGAAGCTGTTCCGGGAGGCCCGATTGAAGATTCGGCAAAGAAATTTGCTAGGTTCATACTGTATAATGCACGAAAAAAAAACCATATCCAGGTTCACATAATGTACTGTAAGAATACAACAATATTGTGGCCTGACTTGCGCAGCTTTCCAAACTAACAGCTCAGCAAACTGCACCACCAACTAATCCACTCCTTTTCTACAAAATCAGCCCCTTTAGAAGCTTTGGCTCTGCCAGGATTGCCAGCAAGCCGTCGTTTTACCTTTAATGCAATTTTTCAAAATTTAAGATCTTTAAATTTAAGAGGTATTGTTTTATACAGCATTTTATTCAATGTCTGGAAGCTGCCTTGAGTCCCCTTTGGCGAGATGGGCGGCAAATAGATAGATGGATGGATGGATGGATGGATGGATGGATGGATGGATGTGGATGGATGGATGGATGGATGGATGGATGGATGATTGAGAGATAGATGATAGATAGATAGATGATAGATAGATAGATAGATAGATAGATAGATAGATAGATGGATAATTGAGAGATAGATGATAGATAGATAGATAGATAGATAGATAGATAGATGATAGAAGATAATAATAATAATAATAATAATAATAATAATAATAATAATAATAATAATAATAATAATAATAATAATAATAATAATAATAATAATAAAAAGTTGGAAGGGACCTTGGAGGTCATCTAGTCCAACCCCCTGCTCAGGCAGGAAACCCTACACCATTTCGGACAGATGGCTGTCCAGTCTCTTCTTAAAAACTTCCAGTGTTGGAGCATTCACCGCTTCTGGAGGCAGGTAGTTCCACTGGTTAATTGTTCTAACTGTCAGGAAATTCCTCCTTAGTTCCAGGTTGCTTCTCTCTCCTTGATTAGTTTCCATCCGTTGCTTCTTGTCTTGCCTAGATAGATAGATAGATAGATAGATAGATAGATAGATAGATAGATAGATAGATAGATAGATAGATAGATAGATAGATAGATAGATAGATAGATAGATAGATAGACAGACAGACAGACAGACAGACAGACAGACAGACAGACAGACAGACAGACAGACAGACAGACAGATAGATAGATAGATAGATAGATAGATAAGCCACCATCCCATTCAAGACTTCCCCTTGGAAAGACATTCTAAGGAGTGTCTATGGAGATTCTCAGTCCAAACCACGGTTGTCCCAAAAGTGCTTTTTCAAAAGGCAACAGGCCGCTCTTGGGTTTTTTTTCCTTTGAAAACATTTCGCTTCTCCTCCATGAACCGTAATGTAGAACTGAAGAAGCTTCTTGGAGGAGAAGCGAAATGTCTTCAAGGGAAAAAAAAACCCAAGAAAGTCCAGTTGCCTCTTGAAAAAGCACCTTCGGGACCTCTTCAGGAGAGACGCTTTGTGTTCCTCAAAGGATATAAAGTCAGAAGACGGCGGGCGAGCTCTGCAGACGGGACCACCCAACTGTGAATGGTTAGTGTCATGTTCACCATGAAGTCGCTGGTGCACAGATTCCCATCCACATCTGGAGAAGAAGGACAGGCATTAAAGTGGATCCATCAATAGGCAGAAATGGAACTGAATAGAAATTGAAGAAAACAAGCAGTCTGGGCTAGTTCTGCCCCATAATACAATACACTTCTGGTCTTTAAGAGTTTGGTCTAGAGCAGGGGTAGGCCACCTTGGCTCTTTTATGACTCGTGGACTTCAACTCCCAGAATTCCTGAGCCAGCTGTGCTGAGGGGAAAGAGAGAGGTTTCCATGCTGAGCCATGCTGGCTCAGGAATTCTGGGAGTTGAAGTCCACGAGTCATAAAAGAGCCAAGGTTGCCTACCCCTGCTCTAGAGGTTAAGGCACCAGGCTACAAAGCACAAGACAGTGAGTTCAAGTCTTGCCTTAGGCGTGAAAGCCAGCTGGGTGTCTGTGGGCCAATCACCAGGAGATGGTGAATTCTAGTTCTGCCTTAGGCATTAAAGCCAGCTGAACGCCTTTGGGTCAATTACCAGGAGACAGTGAGTTCTAGTCCTGCCTTGGACATGAAAGCCAGCTGGGTGTCTGTGGGCCAATCACCAGGAGATGGTGAATTCTAGTTCTGCCTTAGGCATTAAAGCCAGCTGAACGCCTTTGGGTCAATTACCAGGAGACGGTGAGTTCTAGTCCTGCCTTGGACACGAAAGCCAGCTGGGTGACTTTTCGTCAATCACCAGGAGACGGTGAGTTCTAGTCCCGCCTTAGGCATGAAAGCCGGATGAGTGATTTTGGGCGAGTTCCTCTCTCTCAGCCCAACCCACCTCAGAGGGTTGTTTTGCAGGGAAAACAGGAGGTGTGTTGAATACGTTCTCCGCCTTGACTTAGATGTGAAAATAATAAAAGTGGGATACAAATCAACAAAGAAAAAAACCCTTCCTGGCTGTTAAGCTGGCGTATCTGTGGCCCGATTCGCACTAGACTCAGCCCCGCTCTCTAGCCTCGTGGAACATCTTCCCCTCCAGCCAACCACCCACCCCAATCAAGACGGGGGTCTCCACCCCACCCTCCCATCCACGGTACCGAAGGAGCGGAGGCATTTCTCGATCAGCTCCTCCAGGGTGCAGGATCGATTCAGTTCTCCCAGGCTGATGCAGGCCAAGGCCTGGTTGATCTCCCGAGGGTTGGGGCAGGTCATGTGGCGTCGGCTCTTCCGCCGGATGATCCTGCTGGCTCCCGGGAGGGTGCTGGAATCCATCCTACCAGCGGCCTCGGTCCGGGATCTCCTGCAAAAGCAACAAGTCTTCTATTTGGCCATTGTCAACCAATGGGGCTGTGGCGGATCATCCAGCGGGTGCCTCCACCAGCTCTTGAGTGGAAGTACGGTTGCATCTTGTCTTCTACACCCCAAAAGCCACAAGCAGCTCTACTCCAAAGGCAGATGGGGCGACAAGGAGCCTTTGGGGAGATGCTAAGGGATGGGTTAATCTCCTCTAACATTTAAGACCCCTTAAACTGTCCTCTTCCCCCCACCCCAAATGGTCAGGAACCTTGGACCCTTTGATGCTGCTGGTAGCGCTGTGATTACAAGGCAGCGTTGCAGGCTGACTCTGCCCTCTGCCAGCAGTTTGACCCTGACTGGCTCAAAAAAGGTTGACTCTGCCTTCCATCCTTCCGAGGTCGGTAAAAATGAGGACCCAGATTGTGGGGCAAGAGGTTGACTCTGTAAACCGCTTAGAGAGGGCTGTCAAGCACTACGAAGCGGTATACAAGTCTAAGTGGCTATTGTATTTGCTTTTTCTGGAGCGGCTCTGCTGATTGCCCGTAACAGGCCTCTGAGCCAACTTGCTTGCAGCCCTGTGCCACGATCTTGCACAAGTTCCTCAAATGCCCATTTCAAGAGCTCCACATCCTGGCAGCCCTCAAATGCACACACACACACACACGCACACACGCACACACTGTGCAGCCTCACAGTTGCCGGGCTGTTTCAAACCCCAGCTATTCGCCAAGGAAAATAGGAGGCCCTGTGGGAATTTCTGCCAAGTTAACAAGAGGGATAGAATCAAGATCACGTGAAGTATTAATACCACTTTACAATGCCATGGTGAGGCCACACTTGGAACACAGCATCCAGTTTTGGTCACCACGATGTTAAAAAAGATGCTGAGACTCTAGAAAGAGTACAGAGAAGAGCAACAAAGATGATTAGGGGACTGGAGGCTAAAACATATAAGGAACGGTTGCTGGAATTGGGTCTGTCTAGTTTAATGAAGAGAAGGACGAGGGGGGACAGGATAGCAGTCTTCCAGTATCTCAGGGGCTGCCCCAAAGAAGAGGGAGTCAAGGTATTCTCCAAAGCGCCTGAAGGCAGGACAAGAAGCAACGGGTGGAAACTAATCGAGGAGAGAAGCAACCTAGAACTAAGGAGAAACTTCCTGACAGTGAGAACAATTAACCAGTGGAACAACCTGCCTCCAGAAGCGGTGAATGCTCCAACACTGGAAGTATTTAAGAAGAGACTGGACAGCCATTTGTCTGAAATGGTGTAGGGTTCCTGCCTGAGTTGGACTCGATGACCTCCAAGGTCCCTTCCAACTTTATTATTATTATTATTATTATTATTATTATTATTATTATTATTATTATTATTATTATTATTATTATTAAGTTCCACCCTTCTCAGCCCCACGGAAAGACCCTCTTCCGTCACCCCGCTGCCCTCCCTCCAGTTTCCCCGTTCTCGGTCCCGTCCCCGTTGCATGCTGCATCTTGTAGATGTACTAGGAAGTTGCCTCTGAAGCACAAACCCTTTTCCAACCTCTCCCCCGAGTGAAAAACATCGGCTAGCCCAGACTTGAGATGCGCTTTGAGTCGTTAAGATTTCGCTCGGATAAATTTGGGGCGGTTGCTGTCAAATTCAAAGGTTTCCCCTCCTTCCAACCGTCTTGTGCACAGGAACCTACAGGTCTTCAACCTTTCCCAAATGCGACGGCTGTCACGTTCCAATGTAGAGTTGGCTTTTGTTTTTTTCCCACGTTAAAGTTGTGCCGAGTTGAAAACAAACTTACCTGCGGGTGTCCGGCCATTAGGGCCCCCGAGCTGCAGGTAAGGATGAAGAAACAGCTGCCTGGTAAATAGATCGGCTACTGTTCTTCTATGCGGTGAGAGAGTTCCAGAGTAGAAAAGTGGAAGCTTTTTCCAGGATAGGAAGGAAGGAAGGAAGGAAGGAAGGAAGGAAGGAAGGAAGGAAGGAAGGAAGGAAGGAAGGAAGGAAGGAAGGAAGGAAGACTCTTCCCCTTGTAAGTTTCTGGCTTAGCCTATCCTGCTGCCCATCAGCCCGGCACCTCTCCCAAAAACTGGCGCCTTGGGAAAGATTAACTTCATATGACAGAGGATGTATGGAGGGCAATTCCTCCTTTTCCACATGAGTGCAAAAGAGGAGAAGTGAGAAAATAAAGTTGAGTTCACCTTACTCAGAATGACACGGAACTTAGAAGGAAAAAACACCACCCAGGAATTCCCAGTGACTAAGAGGAGAAAGAAAGAAAGAAAGAAAGAAAGAAAGAAAGAAAGAAAGAAAGAAAGAAAGAAAGAAAGAAAGAAAGAAAGAAAGGGCGATTTCAGCGCGTTTGGCTTACCGCTTGCTCTCCCGTCGGATCATGGTTTCTTTGGCTAGCCCACCAGGATCCTTCCCTTCAGTCGGCTGTGACCATTAGGGTGGGCTGCCTCTTCACTTGCCAGTTCTTTGCCAAATGCCAAAAGGTTCCCTTGGCCCAGGCAAGTCGGCTGGCTGCGAGGCAGCTGAGTCAAAACGAACTGGTCGGTTTTCTGCTGATGTGGAGTTAAAAGGAACTGGGTTACACATGTGGTGTGTGTGTGTGTGTGTGTGTGTGTGTGTGTGTGTGTGACTGGAAAAAAGTAGAACTGAATCTTAGTTTTCGCTATATGGTTAATCAGAGAGATTCCTGTGCAGGGAGCTTTTAAACCAAGAGGCCAAATTCAACAGGTGAACTTTCTCTGTTGCGGTGGTTTTTAACTCGACAGGGAGTCCTCAACTTACGGCCATGGCTGAGCCCAGAATGTATGTTGCTCAGCGAGACAGATTGTTAAGTGAGTTTTGCCCCGTTTTATGACTTTTCTGGCCACGGTTGTTCGGCGAATCACTGCAGCTGGTTGAGTCAGCAAACCCGGTTGCTAAGTGAATGTGGTTTTTCCCTCCGTTGACTTTGCTTGTCAGAAGGTCGCAAAAGGGGATCAGACGGCCCAGCGGGTCATTGCAACCGTCGTAAATATGAATCGGTTGACGAAGCATCTGAATTTTGATCCGTGGGGATGCTGCCACCGTCGCGTGAAGGATGCTCTTAAGTAGCTTCTTTCAGTGCCATTCTTTGAGTGGTCACTAAATAAACTGTTGTACGTCAAGGACTGCCTGTGTTTGAATGTTTTTATTTGTGAACGTGGAACATGCATGAAAAGGATCAGGGCCTCCATTGTGTAGAGCTGGCCATCATCTTGGCATATATTTTTTTAACTCCCTTCTACCCCCCAAAAAATGCCAAGCTGGGAACGATCAGAAAGGAATCTTTTTCTTTTTTCTCTTTCTTTCTCTCTCTCTCTTTCTCTTTTCCCTCTTGTTCTTTCTCTTTCTCGCTCCCTCTGTCTTTCTCTTTTTCTCTTGCTTTCTTTTTCTCTTTCTCTTTCCCTCATTTTTCTTTCTTGCTCCCTTTCTCTTTCTCTTTCTTTCTCTTTCGTTCTTTCTCTTTTTCTCTTGTTTTCTTTTTCTCTTTTTCTTTCTCTTTTTCTTGTTTCTCTTTCTTTCCTTTCTCTCTTTCTCTTTCCCTCTTGTTTTTTCTCTTTCTCGCTCCCTTTCTCTTTCATTCTTTCTCTTTTTCTCTTGCTTTCTTTTTGTCTCTTTCTCTCTCTTGTTTCTCTTTCTTTCCCTTTCTCTTTCCCTCTTGTTCTTTCTCTTTCTCTTTCTTGCTCTCTTTCTTTCTCTTTTTCTCTTGCTTTCTTTTTGTCTTTTTCTTTCTCTTTCTCTTGTTTCTCTTTCTTTCCCTTTCTCTCTTTCTCTTTTCCCCCTGCTTTCTCTTTGTCTTGGTCTTTTTCTTTCTCTCTCTTTCTTTCTCTTTCTCTTATTTCTTTTTCTTTTTTCCTCTCTCTCTCTCTCTCTCTCTCTCTCTCCTTTTTTATTCTTTCTCTCTCTGCTGCACAACTGCAGGAATTTTGAGAGCCACAGTCAGACCCTGAATCCACCCATCGTGCTTAACTAATGACAAAAGTTGTCAAATCACGCCTCGCTGACCAAACCCCTCTTAGCGTTTACACAAAACACGCCCAGCAGGAAGCCACAGCGGTTGGCTTCACAAACACACTCGACCAAACCCAGCGGACCACATTATAAGAACCAGGGAGCCAAAACACAGAAAAACTGGGAAGGAGCATCCTTCCATTGGTCTGTGGGCTTTCCTCACCTATTTGATCTGCATACCTGAGCAGGTGAGGACGTTTCTCTCTGAAGCAAGTGGAACTTCAGCAGCTGATGGCTGCCTGCACAAAAAGGTGTAAAAATCACAGGAGTAGACCGCAGGAAAGGGGAAGGAGAAAGAGAAGCCGGTTCTACTTTTTTTGCAACCCGGTGAAGGCTATCAGATTTAAGAGTAATTAACCCAAAGAAAGTCCCTCCCTTCCAATACACGTTTATTCAGGGAAATGACACTTTGCAGTGGATCCTACACTGAGGATTATTACACCCGCCCTTCAAGAAACAGAATTCAGATAGTCTAATTTTTTCCTCAATGTATTTTTATCACTGGATCCCCTTAACTACCAGGGAATATCCCCTCTGCCAGTTTTATTTTTCCTTTCCACAAATGCTGTATTTCCATTCTTTTTCCAGGAGATAGGCCCCTTTAAATATTTTCTTTCCCCCTCTGCAGGGAATTTATAAACGGGATATTGGTGTTTTTGTTTTTTTTTTTCCTTTTTCTTTCGAAGCGTGTTGGTTTTCTACCTTCCCCATTGTGGTTACAGTTGTAGGTGGAGAAAGGCTGAACTTTCGGTGTCTTAGAAGACAGCTTATTTCAAAGGAAAGGAAGGCCAAATCTGGTGGGCGTTGTGGAAATGTATAGATAGCCCTAAAGTTGAAACTATTTAGGTTTTTTTTTTAATTGGTTTTTTTTTTTGAAAGACTCTCATTAGAAGACATTCTGAGGTCTTTCTAAGTTGGGAAAACGGACCAACCTCTTGAGAAGGTGGAAAACTCAGAAGTTTAATATTGGGCTTCCAAAAAATTAAAAATGTGGTTCCGTTGGCCTTACTTGAATGCGGTTGAACTTTGGGAAAGAAGCAACGTTTAAACCCCAGTTCTAGGCCCTGGGGATTTGAGTTGACTAATTTGGCTGGCTTGTGCTTCCTTCAAGCCTTTTGTATTTGCTGTCGCCTTGTCCTGCTGGTCTTCAAAACTTCCTCTAAAGTTATTTATCGTGTTTCCGAGCCAGAAAAAAGGAAGGTTTAAGCCATGCAGGCTACCTTGTGCAAAATGTAGCTTTCTGCCTAGCAAGAACCATGTCAGGTGCAGAGAACAAACCGAGTGAATTCTCTCAAGCCATCATCTCCTATCTTGCCAGTAGTGGCGTTTGTGTCTGTCCTTGCAGGACCAGCCCCAGGCAGGTGAGTAAAGCAGGGGAGGGCCTGGTCTGAAGAGTTGAAAAGGGCTTCCTAAAAATGGATCTAAAAGTAAAATGTCCTTGGAGGCCATCTTGAGTCTGCTGGCTTAACAGGATAACAGAAGTTGGAAGGGACCTTGGAGGTCATCTAGTCCAACCCCCTGCTCAGGCAGGAAACCCTATCCCATTCCAGACAAATGGCTGTCCAGTCTCTTCTTAAAAACTTCCAGTGATGGGGAAGGAAGGAAGGAAGGAAG